GGGGGGGGGCTTCCCTGTTGGTCTTAAGCCTCAGACCGAGTATCTCCCGCCCCCTAGTGGTGGTCAGAAGCAAGGCCATCTCTCTTCTACTTCAAGGCCTCCACATCGTAGCCAAAACAAATCTGCACTAAACTTACATGCAGGGCCATCTAATCAGTGGTTTTAGACCTGCTTAGCTCAGAACTCTTTCTTCAGTGAAATTTTACCAAGACCTGCAGATAGCGAGTTGATGAATATGGAGCCCTCTCTGCCCTTGCCCAGATTAAGAAGCCCAGTGGGGCCCCCAGAGCGCCTCTGGTGGTCTTGGGAGGTTAAGTGGGTTGTACAGGCCACACAGATCACTGGTGCCATGGCTAGGACCTATCTCTCTGACTCCTGAGCTAGGGCTTGCTTTGGGGGGCTTTTCTCCCACTTCTGATAGGAAAATCACCCTGTGTTCCTTAGTGGGATGTGGGAGGTGGCCTTGAGGAGCTGTTCACATTCCGGTAAGTTATAAAGAGCACTGGGTCTACAGTCCAGAAGTCCCGACCTTAACCCCAGGCCCAGCACTGGACATTGGACAAGTCACCTAACCTCTCAAGAATTCATTGATTCACTTGTGAAAGGAAGTGTTTTGAAACAGATGAGTTTTACAGTTTATTAATACCTCACCACTACTGCTACATGGATGAGTAAGCAACCAGTAGAGCTGGGGTTCCCCCAAGGTGTGCCCCTTGCCTCCACCACCTCCCCGGGAGGGGGGAACATCATGTCAGAGGCTTCCGGTATGTGGGCATTGCTCCTTGGCTCTGGGCAAACCGCAGCTGAGTGGATATGGGGCACATCGGGGAGACCATTGCCAACTTCTGTATTCCATTCATCGTATGGGGGCCTCAGTTTCTCCCACTCCTGACAAACCAGCATGAGGCTTCGGGGACTCAGTGAGGTCATTTCTGGGACCCACAACACAAGTGACAGTGAAAGATTCTCCAGGCAGCACAGAGCCTTTCTTCTTGACGGTCTTGGTGCCCTTGGCCTGCTGTCAGCATCCGCCTGTTGCCCAGGGATGCTGGGCACCTTCCTCCTCTCCCCTGCCGATGCTAAACAGAATCTCCAACAGTCAGAATTCCCCTTCACGGTTCCGTTGGAGGTTCCCGTCGTCAGAATAGTGATGGTGATGACACTTGATAGCTTACCACGAGCCAAGCACAGTGCTTTTACATGGATCATTTTAGTTGAGTCCTCAGAACAACCCTACCAGGTGGGTATAATTATTCTTCTAATTTGCTGGTGAGAAAATGGAAGCTCATAGGGTTCAGGTAACTTGTCCATCTTCACACGGCTGGTAGGTGGTGGGTCATCGGCCTCCACATTCTCCATCTTCCAGTTCTTGCAGCTGCTTGGCCCAAATCCTTCTCATGCCCTCGGAGAGTGTCCTCCTAAGTATCTTCATGCTCCTGTCCCCTTGACCACCCCCTTTCTTTGAGAAGTTTTTTTATAAGCTACCCATGTAGGATGTACTTAGCCATTTAGAAGGCACCGTGCTATATTATGTTACTATGCTTTTCAACTGGGGCGGCAGATTAATCCAAGCTGCCTGGAATGGGGAGGAACCCTTTGTGCTTTGTCGGAATGGATCACTGGTCAATTCATTGCCTCTCACTCTGCTGCAGAGGAAGGAGGGTGCTCAGGATGTCACCTCTTACCTTTTCAGGTGGGCAACTGAGGCTAGAGAGAGACCCTTGCCCCTGAATATGCCTCTGCACCAAGATACAACCTGTTGGTATTTTTGACCAAGACGTGTAGAGATTTCTAAGAGATTTTTTACTTGGTGTTTTCTTTTTGCTGAAATAGAATAATATTAAGAGAAAGTATTATAAAATTGCTTACCATTTCTTCCATCTAACTGCGGGAAAGTTTAAAATGTTTTCTGTGAATCCTCCTGCTTCAACCACATGCGTGTGCATGTATGTACTTTTATTTAGATGTTTCTGGGAGGTTATATTCTTGGTCATAGCGTGCATGCCGTCTGATTTTTCTGTCCAGCCCCCCTGCCCAAGTAGATATGGTGAACACTTTTCAAGCCAAAGTTTATGGTTTCCGGGAGTGGCTGAATGGGCTGGGTGAAACCTTCCACGGGTGAGCGTGGAGGTTAGCTAACTAGAGCGAGTACGAGGACACGACCCTTCAGATGTTTTATTCTGGTGTTTTCTTCCTCTGCTGTTTCCCCCACCAGCAGAGAGGGGTTGTCCCTGAGCCTAGTCCTGGGGCAGCCCCTGGTGCCGTGAGGAACTAGCACTGCTCTCTGTGGAGAGAGATGCCTCGTGACTTTGTTGGCTGACGGAAGCTTTGCTCTGTTCTAGTGATTCTTGCTTGTCCTTTTCTCGGGGGTGGCTCTTCTAGATCCTTAAGGAAGAGCAAAGTAGAGCTGGAAGGCACCTGGGAGGTGAGCCAGCCTGCTGTCTCCCAACTTTTTGACCTAAGCCGTGAAGAAAGAAAATACATTTTATAACATAACTCAGGATGTACATAAATGTACATCAGACTGATACAAAAGTTTTTCAAGAGGGTATTTACTCCTACTACATGATTACTTCCTGATACTTTCTATCTTGTTCTGTTCCGTTAAACAGCAACAAAAACAACCCACAAATGGGTTTCATGACCCAACAATGAGCTGCAACACTGGAAGTCAGAAAAACACCGATCCAACCCCACCCTTTATTAGACAGATGGAGTGTCAGGGACTGGAGGAGGAAGTGACTCACCCAAGGTCCCACAATGTGGATCTGGTTTTCAGTTCTAATGTCACCTCCTTTGGATTTACCCAGAGGAGAGCCTGGCAGGTGCTCAGGAATCTAGTAGGAGACCCTGGTTTGCCACTGTGGTGGGTGGCAGAGGAGCAGAGCAGTGACTGGCCCAGCTTCCGGCAGCTCTTCCCTTGCTGCGGGAGCACTCCCCAGTCTGAGCTGCCAAGAGGCAGCTGTGTTCTTGTCCATGGTGCTCCCCAATTCCAGGAGGCAGGGGACCGTATCCCTAGGAGGATGCCCTTCAGCATTTTCCTAGCAAAACAAGAAGGGACGTAGAGTCCTTACGGCAACCTTGGCTGCACCTGCTGCACCCCAGGACCACCCTGTAAATACCCCCTGGCTTCTAGAAGTTAATTAGTTTGCTAAAATTGGAAGTGAGTTTTGCGTGCAGCAGCGTGACAAAAGACAGGCATGTACGAGGTGTGCTTCCCGGTCTGAGGCCTGGGACAGAGGAAAGGGAGGGCCAGGGATATCCTCCTGTCCTTCCCTGCCAGATGCTCCCACCCAGGGCCTTTGTGGGCTCAAGGCCATGGGCTGGCTGCCTCCTCTGCATTATGAATGTCACAGGGGGAAGCTAACGAGGTTATTGGGCAGAGAAACACTCCTGTGAGCCCATGTGGAAGAGACCTACAGCAGAGCAGGAGGCAGGGAGGCCGACTTTGGCACCATCCATGGGGCTAGAGAAGGAACTGAAGGGGTTAGTGGACAGCAGGCTTTGGCCAGAACACTGTAGTATACATCCCTCAAGAAGTAGAAATAGTGAGCGAGCGAAGGAAAGAAAGCCAAGGATAGAGACAGACTGACAGGCGGCCAGGCTCGCTCTGTTCATGGGATTCGGCCAACATGGGAGGTGTGTGCGTGGTTCAGTGCTCCAGCAGTGTTTCTGACAACACCACCAACGTGACGCTGGACAACGGGGTCACCTATAAAAGTGCTTTTATGGAATATGCTGTTGTAATAGGGCATTTACAGTAAAAGGGGAAATGTTAGGTTGAACTTTATGTTTCGACCTAACGTTTATGCTGTAATTTGAAGTGTGACCCATGTCCTCCCTCTGTCCCTCCCTCCCACCCCCCTCCTTGCACTGCTCTGTACAGTAAACTCTCTGGAGTGATGCTAGAACCAGAGGTAGCACACTGGAGGATTTACCCCACTCCAGGACTGACTACAGTGAGTGATGGAAGGAACCTCTTTAACCTATCAACATAAGGCACTGGTAAAGGCAATTTAAGTTCTCAGAAGTCTGCCCTTTTTTACCCGCAACGTTAGGGCATTCGTGCCCACCGTATGTGGTGGATGTGTGGATTAACTGGGACATAGCCCGGAAGGGACTGTACACGTGTGGGTAGTTAGCAGTTAGTAGCAGCAACAACGGGAGTAAGGTGCGGGTGTCCTTGTCTCCTCCCTGATGGCTGGGCAGTGGCTGATCTCGATCCCCCAGCCTGAGAGCTTGTGGGAGTGCTCAGAGGAAGCTGAGGCGTTCGGTCTCCCATGCTGAGGCCTCACAGGAGCCTCCCCTCTCTTTGCTTGTGGAGAACTGGAAGTGGGTAAGTGTTTGAGCTCCTCCGATTGATCTTGGTGTACGTCTCTTTTTCTCCAGCAAGAAAATGCGATCTTAGGGCCCAAGAACCATAAAATCTAAACCAAGTCATCCGTGTGATGCGGTGGTTAATACTGGGTGCCTGCTTTCTCTGCTAATGTTCTGAGGGCCCTTGGCACTGGGCTAGAAGTTGAGGATTGTGCCAAACTTGGCCCTCAGCACTGTCTCCTGCATTACTGCTTTTCTCACTTCCCTCTTTTCTTTTTTTAATGAAATCATCTGTTGTTTTGTTATGGGCCATATCAGTCCCTGTTAACTTGACACAGAATATGGCAAGATCACATCAGGATTATTGTTTATAAGATTTTACAACTTACACTTTTCCTGCCTTCCACCGTCTAGATCCCCTGGTCTGTCTCACTTCTGTGGCACACAGGTTACCTTGTCTGGACTCGTCTCAGACCTCCCTCCTCTATTCCTGCCATGACCCCCAGAGGAGACTATGTTTCTTGCCCCTTGCACATGCTAACCCCTCACAGGATTGTGGACTTGAGGGATTGGGGGACCTGAATCCTCTGAGAATTCACTGTGCACTCAGATAGGCTTTCTACCTTCCCTGCCTCAGTCTTCCCATTTTAGCTCTGGACCTGCCACAGGGATGGCAAATAAATAAATAAAGGGCATCTTGTGAAGGAAGACTGAAAAGAGAACGTGTCTGTGGGGTAAGGGGTTACCTGTGCAGCTGACCTATCACCACCCTATATCTGAGTATCTTCAAGCTGGGGAGCTCCCGGATCCAGATTCTTCCTGTGCCTTGACCTTCTGCCTCTTGTCCTCACAGACTTCAAGTTCGCCATGTACCCGCCATCGATGATTGCAACTGGAAGTGTGGGAGCCGCCATCTGTGGGCTCCAGCAGGATGAGGACGTGAGCTCGCTCACTGGTGATGCCCTGGTAGATCTGCTGGCCAAGATCACCAACACGGATGTGGTAGGTGGATGCCATCTTCTTGGTTAAAACCAGATGTCTCTTTTCTCAGCCCAGGGAGGGAGACAGTTGGCCTGACGATGATGTGTTGGAGATATTTTTCTTTGTTGGTGGTTTCTGTTTTCCAAGGTCAACATCCAAGGTAGTACAAAATCCAACAGATGAGGCTTCCTCTTAAGGGTTTGAAAGCCTGTGTGCCATTAAATAGAGAAAAGAGCCTAGCAGGCAGATAACAAGGTGGGAGGAGGGCTGTTTACTAATTTTCCTTCATGGTGTGGGCTTCCCCATGGGTCTGAATCGTTGCTTCATTTCCATTTATGTACATGTCCTCAGGCTGCCTCTCCCCCACAGTGTGCTGCTCTGCTTACAGCCACTAAGGCGGAGACACAGCGTGGAGAGGGGACTAGAGCCTGGCTCTGCTGCACTGGGGGCGGTGGGGATCTAAGAGGTGCCCCGCCACGAGAATGGTGTCTGGCCTTGACACACCTCTCAACCCCACCCGCCTCTCACTTCCCTTTTGTTTAATGTGGTAATGGATTAAAAAGTACTTCTAAAAGAATAAAGAGCCATAGTAATTCAAAGAACTATTATTAGCTATAGATTTTTCCATTCTTGTGCCCCGTGGACTGCCCAGAGGCTGCAGTTCTGCTTGCCAGAATTTGAAGCTCTTTAGAAGAAAGGTCTTGAGAGACCAGGGTCAAGTGAGGCTCTGATTCAGCTGGTAGGAAATTGCAGTCCTTAGAAGGTCCGAGCCGGGGTGGTTCTGAGAGGTCAGCGAGGCAGTTCCTGCGTCTTCCAGTGGGGGCTTTTTCCATGCGGAGGGGCTGAGGGAAGCAGCTGGGGGTGGGGCGCTAGCAGAGCCGGGACTGGACCCAGGAAGCTCAGACTCCTTGTCTGGGAACTCTGCGCTCCACCCTTGTGGTTGCTCCCAAAGCTTTTTGTTTGGGGAAGGGCCTCTGCTCCAAACCAACTCCGAGAGGTGTGTCAGCTCAGAGGCCCTGGAGAATCCACACGAAGATGCCCCCTCTGGATGTTCCAGGGAGATTCCGAATGCCCTGCTGTGGGAGTATATTGAGTTAAGAGAGAATGTGGTTTGCAGGCCTGTGGCTGATGCCCCACAGGGATGCTGAGCAGAAGGCTGAAGCTCAGAGTGTGAGGCTGCAGCTTCCTGGCTTTCTCACCTACGTATCTGTATTTTGCCTTGGCCTTTATCACCATCTCAAGGAAGTAGTGCAGGGAGGTGTTAAAGGGCCTCATGGAACCTAGGGGCCTGCTGTGAAGCAGTTCTTAGGCTTTTAAAATTCTAGGTCCAAAACATAGGCTTTAAAAACATGGTTTCCAAAATAGAGATTGAAAAGACCCCTCCAGGCAGCTTCACGTGCAGAATGCTTTTCTAATCCTCCAGAGACAAATCGTGGACAGGACCTAACATTTAAAGAAATGAGAAGCTTCCTTCCTTTTCTGAATATCTCCTATTAAGGCTGCCTTACAAAAAGGAGTCCCGAGCAGCAACCAGCTTAAGACCAGCTCTTCCTTGACCCCCCCAGAGACAAGAATGTCAGTGACAACAGTTTGACCCCAGGCACTGTAACCTCTTTAAGATATTTATAGATCTGCTCCAATTGGCCGGTTGCCCCATGGGTCTCCCGCCTTCTCCACATGTCCTTTTATCACCCCTTACTGGTTTCAGATGGACAGAGGTCACTCCTGAGGTGCCACTTGGGGTGCTTTTCAAGAGTCTCTTGGGAGTCTCTTGGGGTGCTTTTCAAGACTGCAAACCAGTTTCTCATGGCAAACTGGAGAAAGTGCTTGCCCCTTTCAGATACTATGTAGCCAGTCCATCCAAGTTAGCTGTCAGACTGAGTTAAATGGATGCAAACCCGCTCAGAGGTCTCTTAGAAATCCCAGCTGTTGCACTGGACTTGCATGCACATGTCACATGCTTACCGGTGGGCCCTCAGTTACATATCTTAATATTTAAAAACCAAGCATGAGGGGCACCTGGGTGGCTCGGTTGGTCAAGCTTCTGACTTTGGCTCAGGTCATGATCTCACAGCTTGTGGGTTTGAGCCCCGCATCAGACTCTCTCCTTTCAGCGCAGAGCCTGCTTTGGATCCTCTGCCCACCGTGCCCCACCCCCCCCCCCCCACCTCACCCACTAGTACTGTCTCTCTGTCTCTCTGTCTCTCTCTTTCTCAAAAACAAAATAAAAATTAAAAGCAAAAAAAAGCCCCCCCGAAACAAAAACCAAGCATGAGCAGAGGAGAATGTAAAATCCATAGCACTTTTTCAGATAACCACTTGAGCCCTCCGTGAGTTCTGCTGGGTCTCTTCCCATCTGTCTGCCTGTGCTCTCTGAAGTGCTGAGGCTCAGAGTGAAGGAAAATAAAAGGAGTGGCTTTAGAAAGCATTAGCATTTGGAGGGAGGCAAGTTTTGCTTCCTGAGCTCATTTACTATTTCATGAGTCGAGAGGTGGGGTGTTTGAAGCACTTGACTCTCCATTCATTCCTGGGAGTGTTGACTGAGGGCTCACTAGCCGCAGACTTGCATTATGAGGAAGGCCTGGATGGCTTGGAGGTAGAAGTGGAGGCAGGTGGGTAGTGCATGGAAGATGAGACCTGATGTTCCTGGCCTGAAGGAACTTAGCGATCCTAAGACAAATCGAGAGTGAAATGTGCAAAATCCTAGCAAATTAAGATCATAAGGAAATGAATGCTAGAGTGTTATATATTCTAAATGCAGAGGAAGGAGCTTACTAGGCCTACTGTAAAATGCAGGCCTCCTGGCAGAGTCCACTTGATGATAGAAAATGTCCTTGGAATGGAGAAACAAAATGTGGTATGTATTCTCCTTAGATGTGTTCTCCTTAGTGAGTGCAATGGAATATTAGTCAACCTTACAAAGGAAGTGTAATGCCAACACAGGCTACAACATTGAAAACATGCTAAGTGAAATAAACCAGACCCAAAAAGACAAAAATACGTGATTCCACTTCTGTGCCATACCTAGAGTAGTCAAGTTCACAGAGACAGAAAGTAAAATAGAGGTTACCAGGGCCCCAGCGGCGGGGGGAAGAGGAAGTCATTTAATGGGTATGGAGTTTCACTTTGGGATGATGAGAAAGTTCTGGAAATGGAGAGTGGAGGTGGTTGCACAACAAAGTAAATGCACTAAATGCCACTGTACACCTAAAAAATGATTCAGATGGTAAATGTTACGTTCAACTTATTTTGCCACAATTAAAACACACACACACACACACACACACACACACACACACAGTGCTCTCAGACCCACACTGTGAAATGCCCACAGGTTTGTGTTGAGCTCTCCCATGGAGAAGTCAAGTACACAGCACCACGTTTTGCACATGGGCTCTGGTGAGATAGGACAGACAGGAGTCAGAAAGCGCTGACGTGTCACGCTGGAGTCCCCACAGTGGTGCACTCGCCAGTGCACCTTGTTATTTGTGATGTCTTCAAGCTTACGGTGTTTTCTGTCTGTGCATTGTCGGGGGGTCAAACTGCTGAGAGCACATCCCCCCCACAACCCTGAGTCCTCTGAGACAGCCAGTCCCCCCTGATTCCTCTGGCTCACTGGCTGGAGGCAGATAGCTTTGACAGGAGGGACCCATGCAGTTCTGAGAAGGTTGGTCTTTGTTGCTCCCTCTGGTTGCCAAAATAAACCGGAACGCTTCATTCCAAAGAGAAAGCTGAGTGAGAAGCCTGACAGTTTTACAGGGAATAAAAGTCTCAGAGGGTGGTATATTTTAAGTACTTTTTCCTTCCAGTCATAAGTGTTGCTAAAAACAGACGCCAGCCAGCGAGGCAGTGCTGGCTTTGGGGGAAACTTCTACCGGGCCTTCCGTTGCCAGGGGTGAGTTTGAGAGGAGGGACCGAGCGTCCCGGTTCCCCAGTGGACCTTTCCCGGCTTCGCCAGGCAGACTCGGGGCTCCTCTTCCGTCCCCTCCGCGCTCGGCTCCTGCTTTGTGCCAGCGTTTATCTCTCTGTTCGCTTGTCTATAGAGCCTCTTGAACAGGACCCAACTTTTACTGCGCTCTTTATCCAGAGCCCCTGGCAGAGTCTTGGGAATGATGCTGAAGAGAGGGAGGGAAGCAGGAAGGAAGGAACGGCAGACAAAGGCCAGGCAGATGGGCTTCGAGTGGGTTTCTAATTCTTTGGTCTCCCCCAGGTCTTTTGGAAAGCCTGAGATTTCTTAGCACTAATTACATGTCAGGGTCCTGAGCAAATCACATCACCTTCACGTGACACGGTTTTACAAGTCGCCTAATAAAAAGAGCAGAACTTGGGCTCCCGGGCCATGACGATGCTGTGAAGCTACCCAGAGATCTTTAACAGGAGAAGATCTAGACGCTAGTCACCTGATCGTTAAGGTCATCCTTTTCTGCCTGGGTTACAGCCAAACTCTGTTGCATTCTTAAATATCACCCAGAGAAGATTCTAGAACATCCCTTCCTTAGGGTCATCCTGGCATGCTAGGATCTTGGTTGTCCAAGAGCTATTAAAAACCATCAGCTCTGCTGTGGAAGAAGTCTCGATTTTGGCTACACGCTCTTCACAGGGTCCCCAGCATCGTGTCTTTGTCCTGCTTAGTGAGAGGCACTGACACCTTCACAGCACCTTCTCCTAAAGACCCCTGTAGGACTGGGGCTCTGCAGACTCCACAGGGCCTGTGGTCAGGAACCCTGTGAAGAGTGGCTGGAAGGGAGGCTGGGGGTGGGGAGGGGGACGGGATAGAAGTGGAGGCTGATGCTTCCCTCTCCTGCCTTATTTTTTCTGCAGGCCTCATTTGGTATGCAAGGAAATAGCCAAACAGCCTGTGAAGAAAGGAAGAATGAGATAGTTTCCTAAGTTGTCTCTGCCTGAGTTGGCCGCGGGTCTGGGGTTCATTCAGCCCTTTGTCCCCCTGTTGAGTGCAGTGCGTGTGTGGTGACAATGGAGTGATGCAGTTACACTGAGGGCTAATGGTAGGAGTTCCGTCA